ATATATATATATATATATATATATATATATATATATATAAATATATATATCTATAACTATAAAATCAATTGATTACTCATTATGACGATACGTATATCGTTAAACTTAACAATTCTTTACGATTACAATAAAATTGCGTATTCAACAATCTTAGAATAAATGAGAAATATTATAAAAAAAATTTCAATAAAATCCATATATATATATAATATGGAATAGGTTATATCGTTAAATATGTTTTAATACTATCACAGAGTCAGAACGAATCAAAGGACAAAGTTGTGATCACGTATTGTGTCACGTGAATAGCTACTGCATTTAATTTACGTTCACTTAATGCGTGTGCAGACATTGGAGATTATGCAAGGGTTGATGCCAAGAATAATGCCTCGAATAGAATGAATTCTAGGCATCGATAATAAAGAGGCATCATGAACAAGTACAATTGATTGTTTGTAATCGTGAATAATCTTCTCGCGACAATGATTTGCTTATTAATACATTTTGTTATACTCGAGCGAAATTCTATGTATAAGCTTGATTCAATATTATTTGTAATATAATATTTTCCTTCATTCGTTTTTTCTTCTTTAATATCTTTTTTATTCAATTGAATATATTTATTAAAGTTTATTATACTTTATTATTATTATTATTATTATTATTATTATTATTATTATTATTATTATTATTGTTATATCAGAAAGAAATGAAGGAAAGTCAGATTCATTATCTTGCAAGAATCTTACAAAAAAAAAAATAAGATAAAAAAAATTATGAAATCATTTTCGAATTTGCATACTATACGATACATTTTATAAATCAAGATTTATCTCATTGTTCATTCAGTTTGCGAAGATTTTCTCTTGTGTACGAGTATTTTTGTCCGATGATGCAATGCGATAAATATATGCCTTCTTACCCAAATAATTCTCCGTGTGACGTAATTGTGTCACGTTCAAAACCACAGCACCACGAGGAACCGTGGCAACCAAATTGTAACCCCGTTCCAAGGTCGGTTCCGTGAAAATCCCATCGATTAAATGTCCATCGCAGCAATTCAGAAAACACTGAGAACATATTAAGTTTGAAATTAATCGAATTATTTCGAAATTGAAAACAATTTAAAACATTAAGAGTATTGTATTATTTTATTTTACATTATTTTCATCAATAGCTGATGCAACAATTGAGATAATGGAGAATAAAAGTAAAAAGGATGATCGAAAGATGACAAAACGCATTGTCAAAGAAAATAGAAATGACACGGAAGTAATAACACATTTGCACATTCTCGACGAGGAAGCAATCAAAATCCACTGACAAAAATAATGGAAAGCGTTACGCTCGTTTTGTCAAGCACATTGCTTGCACGCTGCAGCACATTGGTACATGTGATCAATATCTTTGATTTTTGTTATCGGGTTGGTCGATTGTACGCAACACCTTTTTTTTAAATTTCACAAACTCTATTCTTTACGTTGAAATATACTTTGATGCATGCAATTCGATGAATAAATGTAACGATAAAAAACTAACAAGAAAATAACAACAAATCAATATATCAATATATCATTAATAAAACAAATAATATTCTTCGAAAAATAAATATAATTATCACGTAATTATTTCAAAACTCAATTAAATCTTATTAAAATTAGAAAAACCGCTTTGAACCGCTGTAATTCCGAAGATAATGATTTCCGATCAACGAATGAACGATCATTAGAAGCGCTGAATCTTGCTCTTTAAAATGCTTTTCGATTTTTCTTGATACGACTTCCGGTTCCCAAGATATCGTCGTGTAAAGGAAACTGTAATTTTTAATCATTTACCATTACTATCCTTGTTTTTTATTCGGATCTTTTGCTTGCATCTCGTTTCACTAACCTATCCCAAACTGCAGACAAGCGGCAGACGCGCGATTCCTGGAAAAACATAGTATGCGATTCTTGGAAGGACGTAGTACGCATTTCCAGGAAAAAATATAGGCCAATGGGCCACGGTCCATTCATAATTTTTGCGTTACGTTAAGCGCTATTGAAACTTTGAATCGTTATATCTCGGCAACCGATTGAGATATCGAGATGAATCAAAAAATAATTTTAACGGCATGGTTTTCTCTACATTCTGATTGGGTTTTGATGACAAAATTTTTAATTTCTTTTCACGTTTTTTTACGTTATATGAAAAGTCGAAATTTTGTTCTTTATTATTTTTAACGTATCAATATAATAATCTTGTAATATAAAGTATATAGGGAATATATAGAGAGACATTATATTTTTTTTATATCGATCAAATATTTGAATATGTTTTAAATACATCTAAATCTTTTAATGATTTTGCTGTTTATTTTTTAATTAATTTGATACTCGTGACGATTAATCACAGCATCAAAATAATACAATTTCAAATAATATTTCGAGATTATAATATTAATGAAACGAAATCTACTAAAGTATTTCCATCCATTTATTTGTTTACTCGTGGAAGTGGATATGTCTTTATACCACAAATTCGTTGAACCCAATCACTCGAAGAATTCTAGGAAACAGAAACAGTATTTACACACGTGGTTACTTAGCATGAAATTTGTATAAACAGAGCTCGTTATCGGATCGAAGTAAATTTCGAATCTGCGAATTAGTAAGTCACAACATGTCGAGGCATATGGTTGTGCGTAGGACCGTGGTAAAATTATGGCTGTCAAGAAATAAATTTAGCCACGTCGCGTTCCTTCGTGAGTGTCCAAAAGCCAGCTGCAGTTTGTCGTTCAGTCTGTGAATCGCGACAAGTCGAGTGCACCGGAATCATGGATCTCTTCATGGGTGATCCAGACAATCAAAGAACCACCTAAAGGCCATTGAAAGCTTATTTAAGTTATGTTACGTTACTTCCATTAATCATTATGTCAACATCCAAGTACCTATATATTCTTTTTCTTAAGATAAAATTTAAAATCGTGTTAACATATATAAAAGATTCTCAAATCTAGAGAAACTACTCTTGATCGTTAGAATCTTTTTTAGGTTATTTCAAAAAATACTTTTATTAAACATTATATCGACACTTTAAAACTTAGAAATTCAACATTTTTTTCATCTAAAATTTTCAATTTTGTTATTAAAAAATTTAATTTTATTATCAATTGAATTTATGAATATTCGAAAAGATATGGTAATTGGATGTTGTCTCTTGACTAAGAAAATATTGATTAATATAGAGTATATTAATAGAAGTTATAATAGAGATTATTACACATCAGTTAACGTGTGTGATGTTAATTGCTTAACGTTGTGCGATCGATGATCAGAATTCTTGTAGAGTAAATAATAACGAAATACGACGATTATTGTAATTTAACATGTTAACATATGTGTATGTGTTTATGATGTCGATTGGAATATAGGTCACAAATTATCTATAATTTTAATTTTTTCGTATAATCCATCGACCTAATTAACAAATTTAATATTTATATTTAATATCCTCGCAATTATTCGTTTCTTTATTATTAGAAATTTATTAGAAATTTATCATTTGCCAGACGAACAAACGTTACTTGGCCAACGTGATACAAAGGATACAAATCAAGATAAATATTTCCAACATCGGCGATTAATTATTTCTATCGAAGAGAATTGAAAAAATTCTTGGCAGAAGAATTGTTTAAAAGATTTATAACGCGAGTTGCAGCGTGACGGACACGATTAATATTCGTGTCTCGTAAACGTCACTGTTATTCGCAACTTTGATCGAGCGTGGTTAAGAAAAATCGCGACGATTTCTCGGAAATAATCCCTCCACCTCTGTCCACGTATATACAACAATATATATATATATATATATATATATATATATAATAATTCCTATTAGTCAGTAGGCTGGAAATTGATAAGTTGAAAATATACGTTGCGAAAGGAAATTCGAAGTGTATTGTAATGGCGACGTATACGAGCCCGACGTATATCCTATTCTCGCGGTTGATGAAGCTGAAGAAGATTAAGATGATAAGGGATTGTATGTTAAATTGCTTATACAGTATCCGTACGTGGGTTAGTGTTACATGGGCGTAGAATCGGTATATGGGACGCGAAAGACGAGTATAAATTACAGAGAAGACCACATGGCCACGTACGAGGAGCAAGTGCTTCTTCGATAGTGATTCAGGTCGGATCTGGAACTATTCGTATCTATTACTACCGTTTGATTGGACGATTAATAGTGCCGTGATAGCTTTCTTGAAAATTCGATTCTATTTCGGTACGCAGTTTCGCAATTTGGAAATGCGTCCGGCTCGGCTAATGCGTCAAGAATGTTACTCGATCTTTGAGAGGCTTTAAGAGAATTTTACGAATTGCAACACTTTATTTTTTTATGTATTTTTATGTACATTTATCGATCTTTATTGTCCATTATTGTTAGATTCTTTTTTTCTCGTTCGTTGTTAATCGATCGGTTAAACTACGATTAATTTTCCAACGATGTTCACAGTCTGCTGATGTCCTTGATATCCGCCAGAGCTGAACACTTCTTTTCTTTTTTTTTTTTTTTTTTTTTTTTTCTAGTGAAAAAGCTAATCAGTAACGTGCATATAAAGCCGCGCCCAAACTGACACTCCTCGGCTCTTTGATTGGATTAACCGGGGATGAATGTCAAGTTATACTCTGCCTTTTACGTGGCGCACCGTGGCCAATATTAATTGTATGAATATCGCATGAGCGAATTTATAAATCGGGCCTGTATAAGGGAACAATGCGAGCCGCGAGAACGGCGTCTCGATTACAGCTCGATAATGTCAAACCACGTGAAGCAGGTCTCCTCTCCTCCTCGATATATCGAGTCGCCATCTCCGAATAATCGGACGTTAATATTATCTCGCCTCGATTGTTATCTAGGATTTGTATTTATGACGAAGGTCTTGATTTACGATCGAAACCGTGGGATTATTGTTACGAAGAAATTTATGGAATCCCTTAATTACGTAGACGTAATAATTCACTTTCGAATAGATTCTTTTGGCAGAGAGTGCTCTATTTGAACTAACTTCTTACTTATTAGAGGAAAATTAAATTTGTATTTTAATTGGATTTCAGAAAAATTATCGTTTACGCAAATCTTTCATAATTCTTCTCTTCGTCCTTGTTTCAAAATTTCCATGCTCGCGATACGATTAAAGGATCCATAGATCAAAGATAGGATTATTTTGAGAAAAGAATGGTATATAAGGCCTTAACTTCCTTTATCGCAAATTGCATCCTCACACCCTCACCATTCATTAACGACACGGTTTATGGAACAGCCGTTCATCACCACGACCAAAAATGTAACAGTGAAATTTATAGCGTCGCGATGGCGACTTGAAATAAACGTCGGGTGCCACAATGACCCGTATGCTCGACATCCGTGCACGTACACACGCGTGCCACGCACACGCGTCGCGGTTTCCGCCGCTACTTTTTACAAAAATACACACGCATTCGTACCTTCGCACGCAATGGGTAGCATAAATCCGTGGAGGTGTTAAAGCACATTAAATTACGTCGTGCGTGTTAACTCGTTATAAGCGAGCTGTAATTCTCTCCAACAACATTTACGAGGCCACACCAGGTGTTTACACTGCGATAAAGCAGTTTGCATTTCGCGTATACCTTGTGTCCGTTCAGAAACCACGCGCTTATTAGATTCGATTCGAGCAATGATCAGGATACTTTTCAGTATCGGCGTGTGGCGAATATTTTCATTCAAAGTTGTTATGCTCTCCACCATTTTTTCGAGGGGAAGTTGAATTAAACTTGATAAACTTGACACACTTTTCAATATGTTTTTTTGTAATCGTTATTATTTTTCGATAAAAGAACTCGAATCGTGTTATAGAATTCGAACGATCGATATTTTTAGTTGCCTAATATAACCAAGTGATATTTAGGTTGATGCAATCCGTTAAATCTGTATTAGAAAGTAAACGAAGCATTAACACACTAACCGTGTAATCAAACAGTGTCATACAGGTTAATGTCTTACACAATTACGAGTTAATTGAGCGCAGGTTATGCCGGTCACGTAA